ATTCTTATTTATTTACCGCCCCCAGGTAATTCTTATTTACTTACCGCCCCCAGGTAATTCTTATTTACTTACCGCCCCCAGGTAATTCTTATTTAACTCTTCTGGATCCGAACGCAGGTGTGTCTACCAACACTTACGGGGTTGTACCGTTCAGCCACATGCGCTGGGTAAGTGTCGGCATTCACCTCCCCCTCACTCGCTACGAAAATGAATAAATAAACAACTAATACAAATAAAAATAAATAAATAAATAAATAAATAAATAAATAAATAAATAAATGCAGTCTATCACAGCCCGTCGGTTGTTGCCTTCTTTTCCCTCTCTGCCTACGGTTCACCGGGCTGTTCTTTATGACATATATGGCTACGGTTTACCGGGAAGCTCTGTTTGACTATAAATGAGGTTTTGAACAGGGTGAGTTGTAAGTAAGAAGATAAAAAATGAATTGATTTTTCTTGTTTTTTTTTTTTTTTTCGCTTTTGTGCTCTGATATCGGTGTGACGATATTTATCGTCAAACAGAGCTGCCTACGGTAAACCGTAGGAGCAGAGAGGGAGGGAGAAAGGGAGAAGAGGACAACAAACGAGGGGCTGTGACAAACTGTTTCGTCGGAGTCTTCACCGACTCATCAGGAGACTGAACCATATATGCATCCGGGTAGCTCTGTTTGACTACTCTATTGGGATGAGGCGCGGTACGTGGACAACCTGCAGCGTGTGGATCCCTCTGCTGCTCGCCGATATGCTTTTACATATCGGTTCATTGATGATGTTCTTACCTTTGATTGTCTGCCACCATCATCAGCCCATTATGGTCTTGAATGGAAGGAGACCACTGCGGCAGATGGCTCGTGCACCTTCTTAGGTGCGAAACTGCAGACACGAGCAGACGGATCTCTCAGATTGAGTGTGTTTGATAAGACCGTTGCATGGGATTTTCCTGTTATACGATATCCTAGTGCAACGTCGAACATTTCATCTCATCAGCCTGCAGGTGTGTTCACTGGCCAGCTTACGCGGTTTGAGCAGATCTGTGACAATTGGCGTGATTTCAAAACGGCAGCAACCATGCTTGTCCGCCGTTTGCTCTCGCGTGGTCATGCTCCGTCAACACTGGCCCGTGGATGGACTTGTTACATTCGAGCTTGCCAGCGTCGACATCCAATACATGTAACTCGCCTTACACAATGGTTTCGACGTATGCTCCGCTGGTACCCTCTCCTCCCCTTTCCTCCCCTTCTCCTTCTCCCATCCCCCCTTCTTC